TCTCTCTCTCTCTCTCTCTCTCTCTCTCTCTCTCTCTCTCTCTCTCTCTCTCTCTGTGTGTGTGTGTGTGTGTGTGTGTGTGTGTGTGTTTGTCTCTGTTTAACCCCTAGACCCTTGCCCAAGCTCATGGCGAGGTACGGAAGGCGCGCAATCCGTGCAGGACGAGGGAAGCGCAGATTCGGTGGAACCCACATTATTCCTTCCCTTTACTCCCTCCAAACTCTTGTATATACCCCTACCCACTATTCTTCAAATTCACACCTTCTTCTTTCACTAACTGTTGTTATATTCATATATGTGTACTCACATGCTTATTCATCCCTAAATACAACCCGTTCAGTCTGTTTGTATGTTTTCAGGGTTGATCATTTGACACTGGATAACCTATTAGTGTGCTCTTCCCTGGGGAAGATCAACTCTCCCTGTCTCAGGTTTTCTCAGGTGCCTATAGTTTCTTGTGTAGGGGTTATTTCAAAGTGAACTTATCACACAAGTGACAGTCAGTAACCAGGAGAATTCAGATCAAGAACTCTAGGCAGGAACTTGGAGACATGACCTGTAGAAGTCATGGAAGAGTGCTGTCTACTGGCTTGCTCGTCTTTTTTTTTTTTTTTCTTATACCATTCAGGACCACCCATCTATGGGATAGGTTCACCAATATCACCCATCAATCAAGAGAATGCACCAAAGGTTTGTCCATAGGCCACTCTTACAGATACATTTTTAATTGAGTTTTTCTCTCCTCAAATGACTCTAGCTTGTCAAAAGCTAGCCAGGAGATATGCTCTGATTCGATGTGAAAATTTTGAGCTAACCATGTTTATGTACCTTTAATTCATTCCTATCTACAGTTCCTTCACTGTAGACACTGACAGAGCATGTGCATAAATTCACAGACATGTGTACATGTATGCACACACAAACAACTCCTTTCATTGTTCAATAAGTTTACTGTTGCTTCAGAATCCAGGCTGAATTCTTCAGAATCTTATTCAAATTCACAGAAAAATTGATCATATTTTTGCAAGTTTTATTTCCATAACTCCTTTGACGTGAGAATCAATGAATACATTGGTAATATAGTTTTGCTTATTTTACATGTTTGAAGTAATCTTACACATGTTCAGTCTGAAGAATTTAGTCAGAGTTAGAATGACTACTAAGTAATAAAACTGATAAGAACTTTTTTTTCAAGTTATTTGACATCTGATTCTTTATTTTCCATGGAAGATCATTTCAGGACCACAGGAGGAATCCTCTTCATACAAAGCTTCAGCAAAATGTCAGAACTTTCCCTGGAGAAAGATGTCAGCATTCTATCCTGGGTAGAGATGGGAAAAAATTGAGCAAGTTATTTCTTTTTAAGTTTTAAAATATTTGAGGGTACCACACACACAATGTGCTTAAGAAAAACTTATTCATATCCTTGACTGTTTATAATTTCCCTGAATCTCTAGCTCTAAAATCTTCTACTTTGTACCTTGTGACTTTTGATATTTTGACAGTCACTGCTGCTGACACAATACGATTTCTTAATTACCAACTACACTTTCATTTCAACAAGATACACTTCTACTGTGGAAGATTTCTTCTCTTGTAAAAGTGCATGCTATGCACAAAACAAACCACATTACTCACAGTGAGTCTATTTATCCATTTGGAAGAAGCCCATGTAGAAGAATTTTTCCAACAAATAAAGAAGAGCCACAGCTTTGGGTCTGAGCTAAGGAGTCTGTTATACTTTGGATAAATCTTACTGTGTTTAAATAGTCTCAGTGCTCTGTGAAAATTAAACTTGGCTAATCATTTGCTTTCTAGGGTGATCGTTAAAGACAAAGCAGAATGTTCAAACTGCAGTGTCTCTGGCAAGCTTTGCATGTTTGCTTCTCTGGGTAAATGAGCAACCAGCGGAACGTTTGTACTGATGTCTGTGTTCCAAATAGTCCGTTGCTCAACACCGTGTCTGTCTGACTGCTCAGGCTTATCTGACACCATTCAAGCCTACTCTTTGCATGCTCATTGGAGGTGTCTTACTTCGGATTCCCCCCACCCCCAGAAAAACTTTTATATATTTTGATCATATTCTTTCCTCCCCAACTTCTCCAAGATCCTCCTCTGATTCTTACCATTTCATATTCTTACTATCTCTTAAAAAAGCAAGAAAGGAAGAAAGGAAGCAAGAAAACAAGCAAGCAAGCAAGCAAGCAAGCAAGCAAGAAAGAAAGAAAGAAAGAAAGAAAGAAAGAAAGAAAGAAGCACATAGTCTGTTTTATTTTGGTCAATTGCTCCTAAGCCTGAGACCTGCCCTGGTTGATAAACTCATTGTCACTCCACTGAAGAGAACTTATTTTCCCTGCCCCAGAAACTATCAATTGCAAATAGATTATTGCTCAGGGTGTGACTTTGTGCCCAATGTCCCAGTATCACAGTGGGATTTTGTCTGGATTGAACTTCTGCAGCTCTTGTAAATGTTGTCATAACAACTGTGGGTTTACATGTGTATCAGCCTTGTTATTTTTTCTGGAAAACAGTTTCTCTAGAATAATCTTGAGTGATGTAACTCAGATGCAGAAAGGCAGACATTGTATATTTTTCTTACAGGTGAGTATTAGATTTTATGCTTTAGATGTGTGTTTCCTTCAGAATATTCACAGAGGTTACTTAAGAACCAGAGAGGGAGAAAAGATCTCCCATAATACAGGAAGAAGAATGTAATATTATAAGGGAATAATGGGGAAATTAGATAAGAAGATTCTGTAGGGAGAGGAATGGTAAGACAACAGGATTTTTATCTCAAGAAGACAAATGAAAGCCCGGAGGGTGTGGCAACACAACTATAAAACCAAAACTCCAAAAGAAGGCATAGGAGGCAGGTTGGCTAATGTGATTAGTTAGAAATAGCATTCTCGAAGTTCATCAATAGACCCAACCTTAATACATAATAAAATGAAGAGCAATTGGAGAAATCTCCTAACACCAACCATGGAGCAGCTATACCCATGTTGAGCCGATACATATGTGAACACACACATACACCCCACACACAAAAAAAGTAAACCAAATTCACAATTTTGTAATTTATTTTTAAATAATTTAACTTACATGTAAGTAGCTAGAACTTCTATATTCCCTTCAATCACAATGATCAATAGCTAATATTTTGAAAGAGTTGTCCAGTTGCTCTATCTCTACCTCTGTCTCTCTTTAAACCTATACATCTCAAAGAATATGTGAAGGTGGGTCCCTTTCAAAATCTCCTGACAAGTTACAGATAGACATCTTTTTGTCCCTGAATGATACAAAAACTCCAGTGTGTGCTTCCTCTAAGTAGAACATTGTCTTTTATATTCACCAGATAATATTGCACACCAGGTATCCAACAGTGAAATGTCACTGTGCATATTATTTAGGTTCTATTCCACATCTAGAAACTGTTATGAAAGAGGTAAAGCAAAGAGTGCTACAATAATTTTACTGTTATTTTCAATCAGTCATGTTATTTACTTCTTTTAGACCTAGAATTTGGACTGACGACATACATTTCACCAACAAAAGCCTGGGGCTACGGATTTTCAAAAATAATCTGATTTTTCTGTAACCATTTTATTGCAAATGTTTAATATAAGCACTCTTTCAATAACGTCAGTTGAGCATAGCCTTCTAACAGAGGCAGAAAGCAGAGGCATCAGATTAACAACCAGGAATTCCACTTGGTTTTGGCAGTGCCCCCCACACTTGGACAAAACCCAACAGAATTTGATAGTCACTAGAGGAACTTGATTTCCTACTTCTAACATTTAGCAGTTGACCCTCTACTCTGAGAGCTCTCTCCTCTGCCAATTATGCGTCTATTTATATTATTAGCATAAAAGCATATTTTTATTGAAGGTGTAGCAATTCATTTCTATCATTACTAGGATATTTGGGTCACCTTCATTTGACAAGTATAAATCCCTACAAACTGGTTCCTTTGTCTCTTTTCTCTTTTACCTTTCTGACATTTTGTATAAGGTATTTTACGAACATATTGGAAGTTCCTATCTCACATTATAAAACTGCTTCTTCTTCCTCCTCCTTTTCCTCCTCCTCCTCCTCCTTCTTCTTCCTTCTCTATGATCCGAATCTAAAATGAACCTATAGATTTATTTGAACACTGGGCCCTTGGCCTCTGGTGCTCTTTTGGAAGGTTTAAAGCCTTTAGTAGAGGATTGTGGCTGACAGCAGCAGATCATTAGAGATGGGCTGTGTCACGACACTTGCCTGTGGTTGTGGTCTCTGACTCCTAGCCTATCTCATTTGGCATATATTCTGTGTTATGGTGGACTGAACGTCTGAAAGAAGAAGCAACACTGAACCTCCTAAACTCTCTTTCCAGCAATTTATCCGATTCACGAGAACATGAATAAACACATACTTCAGTTGTCTTGAGTTTGTGTCATTAAATCTCTTCATCCTCATGGGTTTCTGCAATGACAGCAACAAAGTAATGAAAGATAATTTACACATGAATGATTCCAGTTGTCTTCCAAAACAGCTTTATTTTAAAAGGTTGGTGTGACTCTGTGTTTAGCAGGTTCAAGGACCTAGGTTCAATTCCCAGCAAAATGAAATAAAAAATAATCAAATTCATTTAGTAAAATAGGTAGTGTGATGGCCTGCAAACTATATTATTAATCATAATATAATTCAGACTCATAATACTTAAAGGCTTATAACCCAAGGCAGAAAGAAAATAAAAACAGGTATTTAAAAGAAAGTATTTGTGAACTCTCATGGAAAATGTGAAAATTCTTGGCTCTTGGGGATTCTTAAAAAGAGAACCTTTGGCCACTAGACAAATAATTTGTGGGATATTATGTAAAGACCAAAACTAAATAGAAACAGTTTCTAAGAATCTTATGCTTAGTGGGTTATAATACATCTGAAGTTAGAAAAAAAGTCTTAGCTAAGTGTTTTTCACAACTATTTTGTTATTAACATAATATATTTTGCCACATAAGAAACCTGTGAAAAATATTTCCATTCATACTCCATAAGGTGGAGCAATCAATTTCAAATGTTACAATGTTAATCTCACAAGAGAAGCCTCAGAGGCATCCATGAAAAACCCTTCTCTAAAATAATAAGTATACCATGTGTTCTCCAAAATGGCAAGGACACTCAGTGAAGAAGAAAAGGAATTCTAATAATCAAGAAAACACAGCAGTCTCACAGAAAAATCCATAACAAAGGCTTATCATGAAATGTCTCTCAAGAAAGAATTTTCCAGGGGAAAAACGGGCTTAGTAATTAAAGATGAAGTGTTTCACATGTTTGCCAAGAGCAAACCAGGGATTTATTATTTGGCAGCCATATCTACTTGTTCATTAGGTCTCTACTGTGTTAACTTTGATATGAGCTACAGAAAGCTCCCTAATTGTAAAAGGAAATTATCTTATTCTTTGAGTCCAGAAGTCTGAAGTGAGTCTCACAAAATGCTATCAGGATCACGTCCTCGTCCAACTGGCCTTGGTAAACTCTCATTAGATCCGTCCCCTTGTATCAGTGGGTGATAGCATCCCTCGCAGTCCTTATTTCCTTTTTCATGTTTTTCCTCCTTCTGCTCCTCATTTGGACCTTGGAGGGCTCAGTCCGGTGCTCCAATGTGGGTCTCTGTCTGTATCGCCATCCATCGTCGGATGAAGGTTCCCTCTGATCTTGCCTTCCTTGCTCACGTTCTCTTTCCTTCTGCTCCTCATTTGGACCTTGGGGGGCTCAGTCCGGTGCTCCAATGTGGGTCTCCGTCTGTATCGCCGTCCTTCTCCAAATGAAGGATCTATGGTGATAAGCAAAATATTCATCAGTATGGTTATGGGCCAAGGTCGGTTCAGGCACCCTCTCCTCTGTCCAGAGAACAATCTGGGGATCTCTCCTTGGACCTAGGATCCCATATATAATCAAGTCTCCTGTAATCCCTAAAATGACTCCCTTAGTTGAAATATATTCTTCCCTGATCCCATATTCATCCTTCCTCCCTCCCCCCCATCCCAGGCCACTGAGCTTTCCCCATTCCTCCCCTACTCCCTTCTCTCTAACCCTCTCCCCTTCCAACAACCCTCCCACCCACCCCCATGCACCCGAGGTTACCTGGGACTGTTGTCTATTTCCTACCTCCTGGTGGATAGCTAAATAATCTTCATCAGGTTCATCTTCTTATTTAGCTTCTCTAGGATCACGAATAATAGGCTCAAAGACCTTTAATTATGGTTAGAATCCACTTATGAGTGAATACATACCGTGTTCCTCTTTTTGGGTCTGGCTTACCTCACTCAGTAAAGCGTTTTCTATTTCCATCCATTTGCATGCAATTCTCGGAATTTGGCCGGATTCTCTGAATGTGGCTGGCCCGAAGTCTTTCTGAAAAGCCATTGACTATGACACTGGGACTTGTCTCCTCTGCATATACTGGATTTTGGGGATCCAGTCTGTTTGGATACTCACCTTCCTGGACCTGGAGGGAGGTGGGAGGAACTTGAACTTCCCACAGGGCAGGAAACCCTGACTGCCCTAAGGGATGAAGAGGGAGGAGGAGAGGGAGTGGGGGCAGTGGGAGGGTGTTGGGAAGAGGGGTGGAAATGGAAACTTTTATAATTTAATAAAATTACTTTCAAAAAATGCTATCAGGATACAGATTTGTTTTCTATATTTGTTTTTTAGTTTCATGGTGGTGGAGCATTCCTTGGAGATTAAGAAGGATGTG